TATATATATATATATATATGTATATGTATTGTATATATGTCCAACATGAAAAATTTGAGCAGTTGAAGGAAATTAACAACATGATTACTAACGCCATTGTCACACAAGAAAGTGCCTCGACTTCAGAAGGAGAGCGTCGCAACACCATATATATTGGGCATCTTAGTGCCAAAGCAGCCATTTTCTAGCCGAAAATTTGAGAGCATGACATTGCGGTGACAGATGCCAATGCTCCAACGCATAGAGGGCAGTATTCCAACACTTGTAAAAGCAACACGACAACGTGTAAGCTTCACCTCGACCATTTGATGATCCTATTAGGAGAGTAGATATTTTAGATTCAACTTATGCTAAGAAAGAAAGAGGTAAACCTAGAAAGACTTGGGCATATTGCCTAAAAAATGATCTTAATCTATTATAATTAAATGAAAATATGCATTCAATAGGATGCAATGGCAAAAAAATGATTCATGCAACCGGCCCCACTTAGTGGGACAAAGGCTTGTTGTTGTTGAATGCACAAGCCTGATCCAAGAAGTATTAATTTCCAATATCAATAGCCTTATGCATCGTTTCTGTTGATGGCATTTGGGGAAGAGCCATAAAATTCTCCCAGGTATCCAATTCTCTTAACTAAATTACTTTACGTAGAATGAAACAGCTTGATAAGTTCAACATGCCTAACTACACATCCTTTCCAGTTTGCTTATTAGCATACTTTCTGCCGTGCCGATTAGTGATCAACTCCATCATGAATCTTTAAGCTAGTAAGGTAATGACTTGAGCTGATTTGCTTCAGAGTCACAATTCACAAATATTGTTTATCCAGTCTCAAAAGTTTGTTAAAATTGTCATAGCTACTTTATCTTCACCCTCCATAAACATCTTCTACGGTAAGCCATAGCTGTTGCGACAACACAATTGATTTAACCAATGTTCCAGGCACTGAAACGCTTTTGCAGCTCTAACCTTTAACCTCCCTTCATTGCTCATGTGCTTCAAGCCAGTGAAGGGACTATTTAGACTACTTAGCTTCCATGAGGATTTTATTCAGGTTTAGAAAAGCAATATTAGAGCAGTGAATTAGGAACTCGTTTAGTTTGTATTAATATAATCATTTGGTTAGATCCTGCTTTTCCAAGTTTTTATTCTCTTATCCAAAACATTAATAATGACATATGATATTCTCATATTCGCTCATTCTCTGGTGTCTATAATCTATCCTTTTTATTCAACTTCCTTGCCACTGCATCCTGTATATAACAAGACACTGCCCTGGCATATTCTTCCTTGTTGCAGACCATACTCACAATCATCTAGTAAGGGACAATTCATTCAATTAATGCCTGTGTAATTTTTACTTTTTTATTTTGCTCATTGCAAGGATTGAATGATGAAGAAAAAATTACATTTTTAATGAATTTGGTAACATAAAAATGGGAAAATGTCACTTTCATAGAGATGCTGATGTTTTCTATTTGCTGGGATGAAAAGAGACGATACAGAAGATGGCTTTGGTGGACAAGGTGTGGAATGCTGGTCAATGCATTGCAGTTTGTGATGGCGCTTTACCTGATGTATATTATTATGAAGGATTTTGCTAGGCAAGGTGGAGATTCTACTGTATGTTTTCTAGGTAAGTTAATTTTTATTGATGAGCTTTTCTTTTTTTCCTTTTACACCTTCTGTTTTGATTATGTTTGAATTCAATGAACATGAATGATTATTTATTTTTTTAGTTTGAGATTTACTTTAAAACAATGGTTGCCTAAATCTACATTCATCCACTTCCATAACAACATGCCCTTAATTCTTTCTATGATGATTGAAGGAAGTGCTTATACTCATTCTACTGAGAGTTTTGGGTATTCAATGTCAAATGATTAATTCCATTAAGGGAATTAAAAGTGGCCCATTGACTTGAATGGCAGCTGAGAAACTAAATTAAATTTTTTTTTCTTTTCCCATAATTTAGTATGATATGATATTGAGAAATATTCCTGCAATATTCGTGACGGTTGTGGAGAGTAAAATGATCATGGATTACTCATGATAAAAGTTCTTATTGTTAGGGCACAATAGAGATTTGATTTTTATCCTTAGTTATATATTTAAAAAATTTACACTTGCATAGAAAAATTAAGTTGTTGACTTTCCCCTATAGGTTTAAATTTTTGGGTTGAAAACGAGTTTGATCATTAATGCATTAAACTCAACTTGTGTTTTCATGTTGGTTTATATTTTCTATTAAGTGTCTGAGCTAATTGTTTTGATTCGTGCAATTTGTGGTTCCCATTGATCTTTAGTTTCGTTACCATTGCTGAGCAATGCTTAGAGAGCTGGTAATTTCTATAATAGCTTGTCGTCATTGAATGAGCTTCTGGTGCATAATCTGTGGTGATGTAGAACAAAAGGCTATTGTTTGAGGGTGGTGGTTGTGATGGATGATATGAAGAGCTCTTATGTGAAGGGATGACTCCTAAGGCAGAGTATTAGATTAATTTTTGAAGCACATAAGTAAAGATTATGACAGCATAGAAATATGAAGTGGTTGGTCCCTTCTAATTGACTTAAAATCTATTGTGTTGGAAACTAGTTTGATTCCTGCTGTATTTGACTCAACTTGGTTCTCTTCTTAGCTTCACTCTTTGATACTTGCTACTGTTTTTGTTTTTCTTTTAATTCTTTCGCTTGCTATTGTCATCTGCTGAGTGGTATTTTTTTAGTAAGGCTGAAAACATGATACATTTTAATACATGAAAAAAAGTACAATAAAAAACAAAAGCAAACTATTGCCAGATGAAAAGAGGAGCTAAAATTAAAATACATTAAACTGGGACTGTAATTATGTATCAATCTGTATAATCTGTATAGGGTTTTGGGGTGTAGCTTATAGATTCTTTGCAATATTGTGAAAGATTAAACATGAATATGTCTGCTTTTAGATTGGGATACCGCCATATTTTGCATCCTTTAGGAGTTTTTGGAGTTTTTGGTATTCATTTTGTTCACTGCAATGTTTTGCATCAGCATAATTTGTTTGAGATCGTTCATTCAATAGCTAATTATGTACATAAACATTAAAGCATGAAAAGCGCTGTCCATTTGGCTGTGGTTCTTTTGCATATAGATAAGTATGCAAATATTTTAAAACCGTTCTTGATCTAGTGCCAACAACAAAGAGTAAGTTTCAAAAAATGGATAATGAGCTTCATGATTGTATATACTCATAGTTTCTAAAGTGCAGAAGAGTTAGATATTTGAAAAATACGGATTAATCTAAATATTTAAGTAGATCTTAAAAATGAAAGCAATTCTTTTATGTAGAAGGAAAATAAACAAATCCACGTGTACACTATTGATTCGTAATGTTAAAGTAGGTCTTTAGTGCTACCTGAATGAACTGTGTACCTTGAATGATAAGCTTTATATAGAATTTTTTGTCTTAACTCAGAATCAGTAGGTACCCATAACTGCATTTTTTTTTTTTTTGATAATATCATCTTCATCCACTGTCATATCGAATCTCTTTTCTGATTGAAGTTGTTTCAGAAGTTTCAGATATTTACTGCTAACTTTCTGAGCTGCTTTAATTGTAACTATTCGGGCTGGTTGCACTAGCAACTGATGCAAATACCCAATACCATCTGATTTTCTAATTTTTAATTGTAAGACATCAATTTCTCTAATCAACTTTGGCCGCCTCTGAGTTATAATCCAGCTTGCATTACTTATGGATTTACGCCTCAAAGCATTAGCAACAACATTTACTCGGCGAGGACAATTTTTTATATCCAGATCGTAGTCTTTGACCAGCTCCAACCATTCATTTTCACTGCCTTAAATTCAAATTTTTTTTTTTTGTGTGAAAATATTCGTCGAACTTTGATGATCAGTGAATACTTCACATTTCACATCATATACAAATAATTTCACCAAATCTTGAGAGCAAACATCACGGCAGTCAACTCCAAGTCATACATTACTTTCATGTGACTTCAACTGTCTGAATACATAGGCTATCAAATTTTTATTTTACATTAAAACACAACCCATACCTCACAACGACACTTCACTAAAAATCTGGAATCCTTCTATAGCTGATGGAATAGTTACAACTGGTGCCGTGGTCAAATGTTTCTTAAACTCTTTAAAATTATGCTCACATTCGGCAGTCCACTCAAATTGAACATCTTCTCTCATCAGCTTGGACAACGACATATCTATTTTTGAAAAACTTTGTACGAACCTCTTATAATATCAAGCCAATTCAAAAAAACTGCGTTCCTTCGTAACATTCATTGGAGTAAGACATTCCGCAATTTCTTTCACCTTATGATGATCAATTGAGATTCCTTGTCCACTGATAATGTGTCACAAAATTGTAATATTTCGCAACCAAAATTTAAATTTTGAAAATTTTGCATACAGTTGATTCTGCTTCAACAACATCAAAACTATCCTTAAATGTTTGGTATGATCCTCATCAGTTCTTGAATAAATCAAAAGATAGTCAATAAAAATAATAACAAACTCATTCACATACGCCTTGAAGATTGAATTCATAAGTTCCATGAAAATTGTCGGAGCATTGGTGCAGCCAAAATGCATAACTAAGAATTCATAATAACCATATGCGGTTCTAAAAGCTATTTGAGTTATATCTACCTCCTTGACTCTAATATGATGATATGTCGATCTCAAATCTTTTCGGAAAAATATATTAACAACTTCTAAATTATCAAATAGATCATCAATCCAGGACAAATCAAAGCCAATGAATACTCACACTTCTAAATTACAGTAATACAAGAAAAAAATAAAAAAAAAGTTGCATGTCAGTTAAGCATTTAATAAATGAGCATACAACATTGAATAGTTTATGAATATGATCACTTACGATATTTCATATTATCAATGTGTTTTACTATATCTATAATATATATATGATTTATATATCTATATAACCATCATAGGAGCCTCGTATAAAAATTATGTCAGTTAAGGTATTTCAATATCAACTCTCTCTCTCTCTCTCTATATATATATATATATATATATATATATATATATATTGTGTATTTCTTTTAACTTAATTAGAATTATAAGAACTTACCTTACCTTCTTTGATCGAACTCCAAACGCACGCAACCAAAGCTTCAACTTTCCTGCACTCACCCCCTTCCTCTCATCGCCTCACTCTTCGTTGCCATCATCGAGCGTATCGCCTCCTCTGCTCGACGACAACGTCGTCTATCGCCGTCGCAGGTTAGGTGAAAACCCTAGGATCAAGAATCTTATCGACAACACGTTTCACGGTGTCCTCCCCCATGAACACGCTGTTTCATTGGTTTCTTCTTCCTTTTCTTCCGCCGCTGCTTCTTCTTCTTCCTCTCCTTCCACTACTTTCTTTCCCTCTCGATCTTTACTCCGACTGTAAAGATTTAAAGGACGAATTCATCCCTGCGTTCTTGACCTTTCGTTTCAAATCCCCCCTTTTGGACTCCCTGAGTTATAAGAAACGGGCACCACAGTTTGATTAAGAGCTTCCCATTCTTTTATAGTGATCGATTTTGGCTTCTTAGTGATTCTATCTAGTGACAAATATAGTTTCTTTTAATATAACAAATCTTCAATTTTTATTTCCCATGCAAACAAAGTTTGAACCATTGACCTTCTCAACTTTGCATCTTGCTTTGTATATCACTGCTCCCACTCAAACCAAAGAACTTCAGTAACTTCGCTCCGACATCACTTGTTAGGAGAGATATTAATAAGTTGCGTAAATTGATTCGAGAGATCCGAAATAAAATTTAGAATATAAGCACACTAAACAAGAATCACAAAAAAATATAAAGAAGACCAAGATTTAATGTGAAAAATTTGATAACAGGAACAAACCATAGAGTCACACTACACCAAGAAATCCACTATGAGAAAAAAGAGAATTGTACAAATTATACCACACTCAAGACTCTTTACAATTTGGAACACAATAACACTCATTCCTTTTATTTGCATAAGATAAATCTCGAAATCTAATTTCAACACACAGATCCCGCAGCAAAGACACAATTTTAAGCCTTGAACTGGCCAAATATGGTTACTGGCGCTAGGGCGCTGCGGTGGCCCCTCTTGGTGCTAGTGTGTCTATTGCATGCTGTTGGAGAAATGATGACTAGCTCCTCCTATTTTTCATACTTCTTAAAACATGTTTTTCGGTAGAGGTTTTATATTTTTGTAATCCGTGAAACTCTTATCCTGTACGACAAGATTCATTCTTCTTGTTCTCTCATATCAATTCTTTTATCTTTTTACTTTTCTGTATCTGAGAACAGAATTGAATTTTTCACTTCATATCACATATTCAATGTGTTGTTTTTTCTTACTTCTTGCAACATGAATCAAACTTAAATTGTCATTTTTAAACTATGTAAAGATAATGTAGATGTAAGGAAGATGTTCTTTATTGCATTCTGGGTAAGAGATTGAGCGTTTTTCTTTACTTAAATCTAAATCAGATGTTTTGTGTAGTCTACTCTCAGGTTTATTGTCCGCATCAATTCTATGTCGAAGCAGGAAGAAAAATAACTGCGATCAAAATTGTTTGATTTAACTACAAATGTTTGCAAAATCTTGTAAATTATTTTATATGCTGCATTATTTTTGTCAGGACATGAGACGGAAGATAAGGGGAAAAAGTTCTTAATGGCTTCATTTCTTGTGCTTGTGTGGCTTGTGGTTATCATTCAGTGTATCACGGGATCTGATGTCCTAAGATGGAGATCATTCTATGCAACCCAAGATCGTGCCTGGAAAGTTCACTATAGTGAGGTGTTTGATCATGGTATTAGGGAGGCTTTGTGTTGCTTGGGACGTGTAAAATATCTGTATGATTTTCACTTCAGTTATTTGATTTTAGATATATATTAAGGTCTTTTCTTACTTCCATGCGTTTTTTCTTTTGTTAATTTCAGGAGTGTCTTGGAGGAAGATGAGGTATTCTCTGTAGCAAGTTTATTAGGTGATCTTGTGGCTTATAGAGCAACCGGCACTGGCCATTTTGAACTCTTGGCAGGTAGGAATCATTTATGTGAGTTGACCATTTTGAAGTGCTGCCTTATTGCATAAGGTACAAATTATGCAAATATATTTATAAGATACTATATATTTTATTAACTATTAATGCTTAACAAAGATTTAGCAAAGATCCAGTACAATTTTCATACTAAAAAAATTACGTGCCATTTTGAGTTGAGCACATCCCAATCATACGTAGAAATTTGAGGAGAAAATTTCAGGCTACAGAGCACGGTTATCTACTTCAGCGTCCTTCAAAACTGTTTCCTTTTTCTTTTTCTTTATACAAGAAATTTATGTCTGATGAATTAAAGGTTTTTTTTTTGACATACATATTTTCTTAGTTAGTTTTGTTTTTCAGGTCTTCATCAGTTTACCTATTTAAAATTTTCTCTTGTGATAAACTACTCTAAAATTTGAGTCTTGAATCATTGCACATTTTATAACTAGTCGTTCAGCAAATAATGCATAACCTAATAACAGTTGGTAGTCCCTATCCGTGTTACAAATTTTGAGTGGACTACAATACACCATATGTTTCACCAACCATTTTAGCTCAAACAAGTTGATGGGATCCATAAAGGGCATGCCTTTAATTTGCTTTTTTTTCTTCTATTAGTACAAGGCAAGCTTTTCCATTGTTTTTTTTTATTTTTCTTCTTTTTTCTTATTGAATTATTTATTCACATCCTATTCAAGTTGTATAGGCGAACTCCTGATATTAGCAAAATTAGAAAATTCTAAAAATATATTTTTCCTGCATCTTACATCAATTTTATTGCCTTGCTGATTTATTCTTTTCACACTTTCCTTTGTCTGCTTTACCTTTTGCCTCTTATTCAGTGGTAGTAAATGGAGCTTTTCAACTTAAAAATCATCATGACTCAAGTTTTGAAACATTTGCTAAAATGAATTTGTATTTCCTGTGTTCAGGGCTTGCTCTTTTGCAGAGTCATAAACAACCTACAAAATCATACAATGAGGACATGGAAGCGCCTTTAGCACGTATTCAAGAGGCCGCAATTCTTCATCAATTTGCTGAAGCTGCATATACAGTATTTTTTTAATGCCCAGATTCCTTTCTTTGCCTATAGTGATAGGTATAACTCACCAGTGTTTTTCTTTAGGGACCTTTGCTTGACTTCGGAAGGAATCCGGTTCTCTTTCCATGCTCCTGGCTCTGTAGACAAGGAGTTTTGACTCCCTGCACCCGCAACAGGTTCTGTTTCCCTTTCTCATTATTACTGAATTCAAATTATATCTGTGGATTAAAATAATCATGGTACCACTTAAAATTTTTTTTATTACCTTCGAAGCCAAAATGGCTGGCTAGTGCTCGTTGTTCTTTATAGGATTCTTTTTCTTTTAATAAGTTTTTGTTTCCACTTTTCTGATAGTGATACGTTAAATATCATTCCAGGCGTCCTGTACTTGAAGGTGACAACTGGTGGCGAGGGCATGCTGCAGCATTTTTGAAGTCTGCTAATTTGTCCCCACAAGCTCTTAGGCGTGGTCGTGTTATTCAAGTAAATTACTTTCATTTAGCTGTTTCTTTATCACCGATTCTCTTATCTATCAACAATCAAAATGTTTTAAAGTTGATAACTTGACATGAGCTATTAATCCTCTGACGTTTATCGTCCAAGTGTTCCATAATGTGTCAATGGCAGTGTTTGTCAAGATTTATTATTATATAAAGCATCATGAATCACAAGTTCAACAGAAATGAAAAAAAATAAATGTGTAGTTTAAAATTGTTCATCAATAGATTGATGGGAAAGCATTGTGATAATATTTATTTTCATTTGCAATGCAGGGAGCTATTATTTGCTAAGTTAGTCTTGTGATTAGAAGGGTTCATAAATCACTGAATATTTTACTAGCAGAGTTTGGATTATTAATAATAGCTTGCAAAGTTTGGTTTGTGTATGTAAAAGTTTATAATCTTCTTAGGTTTTGTTTTTGTGGGTATGAATTTATTACTGGTAAATTAAACGAATTTAAATAAAAGAGACTGCAAATTTGGCCGGCAACGTCCTAGTAATATACGAACGATGTCAACAGAAAGGATAGCCTGGGAAGCATGAAAACCATGATTAAAACTTTATCAAAGTTTACCCTATACAACTTGTTATTGCAAGATTTGCATTTATGTAATGAACAACTGTGCTAGTAAAATCGATGAATCATGAAAATAACTAGTCACTAGATAAAATTGTAAAATGGTACATTAGGCACCAACTATAATTTTACATATTGATTTCCGTGATAATACATCTTTCTTAATACTACAAGAGTTATATTTGTAACCAAGAAGCAACTGGAAGTCCTTTTGGGTGAAGTAAAGGTGGAAGTTCTTTTGGGTGAAGTAAAGGTTATCGCTGGAGTACTTGCCTAACATGCTTCATCAAGGGTGTGTGTGTGTGTGTGTTTGCATGCTCCAAAATTTTGCACCCTAGCCTCCCTTGTAAAATGAATGAGAGAGTCTTACATTGAGATTTCAAGTTAATTTCCAGACGGCAAATGAGATAATAGATTAGACACTATCTAAAGATTTGCCCTCATTTTGCGAGGAATTTAAGATATGTGGTTTTGAGGTGTCCCATAAGGGTAAGCCCCTATGATTGATCATCCCTTTCGAAAATAGGAGAATACTTTTGTTTAAGGCTAGTCAGTAGAGCGTTGGTCGCTCCTTGTATAGTATCAATACTTTAATTATGAAAATTTATTACTAGGAGTTTAGAGTATTTGATAAGGGAATGGACGACTAATTCGATCAAGATCTCATGGTTTTGTCACTTTGGGTTATAATCTCTAATCTACTTAGTTAATGGAGATAGTCGACTTAATCTAATAGAAAGATCTTTATTAGTAGCTATGGGTTGCTTTGTTCAAAGGGCCTTATATATTTGGGATGGTTGTTTTCTTAAAATGATAATCTAAGTCAATGTTAGTTTATGCACTAATAAGTATATCTTATGATTCACAACTCAAATAGAAGAAAAATATTCTGAAATATAAGAGCTACAATTGTGATCATAATATAGTGGAATCTCTCACAACTTGACTCGAGGCTTTGAATTTTCAAAGCTGGAACGGATGGTCAGACGGTGAAATTTAAAATTTATCACTGACATTTTACAATCCAAATATAAATTGAAAAAACCACTAAACAAGATAGTTTAATTAACAAATAAAAAACTTACTATTTTAGAAAAAGGGTATTAGTATTAATTGTGATATTATGGGACATATCAGCTCATTTATTATCTTGTGTGACTTTATCTTCCTTGTTATCAATAATTATGAAATAAAATAAAATACTCTAGTTAGAATCATTTAAAATTTTTATTTATACTATTTATAATTTATTAAATCAATTTAAAGACTCTTTTTTTAACAAGGTTAAAATATATTTTGACTCTAATACCACTTGTCACGATGTAACTAGAGGGATCAAAATTTCAAGGCAGAAATAGATAGCTGAATGATGAATTTTAAATTTAATTATTACTAATAGTTTATAATCCCAATATAAATTGAAATACCCACTAAAAATAATTTAATTAACTAATAAAAAGCTTATATTTTTGTTTGTTAACCTCGTCTTCGTACATATTGTCTCATATATTACTAATTTTTATTCAAAAGGTTAAGCCTAAAAATAATGCTAAAATAAAATAGCGAGTTACCTAAAATTACTCAGCGAAGTAATTACACTTTTAAACTATGATAACTCAATGAAAAGAAGACTATGTGTGCTAAACTTTTCTATTACATTATAAGAAAATCATATAATAATCTAAATAATGTATTCATGATAATTGCTCATAGAAATAATCTAAAATTCTAGAAGTATTAATGTTAACTTTACTTTTCATGGTATAATAGTGTAATCTTAGTATATGACAACGAATTTATATATGCTTAAAAATATAAGTATTTAATACTGCTGCTAAAAGATTTAATTCCTCAGCAACTGCACCAAAAACTTAATAACAGTTATAGATTCGATAAAGATGCATGTATAAACTATTCAATAATTGTAAAGTTACACTTATCAAAAGTATATTCAACGTAAGTATACGTATCACTCAAGTAATATAGAGCTCTAATGGAGTCCTAGATATCAATCCCACAGAAAGTAATATTAGAACTACGAACTAATATTTTAGAAAAACAATACTTAATCGCAACAATGTAATTCAAATTGCTTATCTGTCACTAATAGACAATTGAAATAAATATATAATTTTAATAACTCTTAAATAACTAATTATACTAATAAAGATTTTTAATGTGATATTCAATATATAAGAATGTATCATTCTCCTTGTCAAGAAATTATAGTGAATGGATAAAGTGAATCAGTTCAAATTGTATTGTGTCAAATAGGAGCATACCTATTTTTTACCCTTTGGTCCAGGCATATAGAACATTGACTAATCCTATGCTTGTTTACTGAATCTGCGGCTAGGCTGGGAGGATACAGGCTCTCACTTCAGAGCTCCCACGTTCCCCT